ATAATAATGTGATTTCGTATTATCTTCCTTGGTCACACAAGCTACGTGGGTCGCGCCAAAATTCTGCCCCTTATTCCTGCGTCTTCCTGGCAATGCGAAATGATGTTCCTTGTCTTTCTTGAGACATATATTTACCCTTTTCCTTGATACATCCAAGCGGAAGATTTGCAAAAGTGGCGCGGGGGCGGATCCCGGTTGGAAAACCGGATTTGGTCCCCGTTCCCCGGGCCTCGGCTCAGCTCTAAGATAGCCCGAGTGACTCAGGACGGGCGCAGAGGGCTTTTTAAGCAGCTCGCGGACATCGGGGACTGAGGAAGAATTAGCATTGTTGTCCCTAAAGGTGAGAAGTGTTGCTTGAGTTTTTCCAGGTGGCAGACGGCCCCTTGCCAGTTTCGGCCCCGGATGACTTTTTGATCATATTTGAATACCGCCTTGGTACAGTACCTCGAGATCCCCAAGCAATTGTATTTTTGTTTTTAAAAATGAAATGATTAAAAACTGTTTAAATGCTCCCCAATCAATTCAGGAAATAAAGCATTGAAAACCATTCCAGAGGGGGGAAGCCCAGCTACACACATATGTTTTCAACAGGTGTTCAGAGGTACTTCGTTTCAGCCTCTTTGAACTTCAGGAGTAAAAGAGTTCTGCAGACCAGGTACCACCACTAAGAAGGCCTGCTTTTCTGACCTTGCCAACTAACATCGCCTGCTTGTTGAACAACCACTAAGGTCTCAGTTGAAGGTTTTGTTCTATAAGTCTCCCGTTGTTCTGCACCCTCAAGTTGTCGCTCTCCTCACGGAGTTTGCATAGTATGTGAGATGCTGAAGAAGAGGTTGATCCCTTGCCACACAGGCTCCCAGGGAGCTTCTGTGACCCAGATCTGAACCCTGTTCTCCTGAATCCCACTCTGGCACTCTGTCCATTACACCACACTGGCTCTTCAAGAGTCCTACCTGCTTGTCAGGTAATCATAATACTAGCACCAAGAGGGACCATACCGGAGAACATTTGCGTGCAGGATATGTGTTCTACCCTGGCGGGGTCTCTTGGACCCACCACTGCACTGTCCTTCTCTGTCAGCCTCTGCAGGGGCAGCCCCTCGCCCTGAGTCCTAATGAACTGGCAAGGCCTTTCCCATCAACGTAGACATCGATGCCATTTCCTAATTCATTTCACCTAAAGGCGCAGCCACAAGGAAGATAACCAAGCTGGCAAGCTTACTCTCTGTGGCAAATCTAGGAGGAGCAAGAAGGGGTTGAAAACCTTCAGTACAGAATAACAACGAAGAGTGAATTAGCACAGAAACAACGCGATTTGCTGTACTGTTTTCCTTCTCTTTGAATTAACCAGAGATATAGATTTGGTTTTTTTTGAGAAGCAATCCCCCTCAATGGGAAATCAAAGGCCAGGAAGTTCTCCAAGGCGCTCCATAGACATCTACCAACACGCGCGAATCCATTCAAGCCCAAAACACCGGTGGAGCCGCGGCCAAAACTTTTAAGAGTACATTGGTAGGATAGCCACCTAACTCCCGTGTTTCTCCTTTTGCTCCCTCAAGGCAACCGAGCGTCCTTTAAACCTGATAATCGACTGGATTATCTATTTGCTAATTAAGTCGGGAGGGGCGACTGGCACAAAGCTTTCTGTCGCTGACACCGGAGGGAGCAACTGATGGATCACCGCCCGCGGGGAGTCACTTTAACGGGGTGAAATGT